TGGGGAGAAAACATTCAAATGTGAGACCAGCAATGTTTTTGAAAGAAAGGAAGAAACCATACATGGTAGATATCATTGGCCAGTCTGGTAATTAAATGGTATTAAATCATTTTCTCCTCACTAAAACACTGTGGCGAAAAAATTATATTTGCCCTTTTTACAGATGGGGAAACTGAGACATAGACAGATCATACAGCTAGCCAATGTCAGAGACAGGGTTCTGCCCCAGGCCCTCTAACGCCAGAATCTATGCCCTTAGCCATGACCCTCATGGACACATTCATATACTATATTTTTCAGAAAAGAGTTTATATGGGTCAACCCATACATACGCAGTTTGAACTTGACCTACAAACTCATGTGCCCTCTCTTTCCTCAAAAAGGAGTCCACTGTTATGGGAATGTTTAATGTTTTGGAGCACATGTGAAGGTCAGGTGGCTTCTAGATGGTTCTGTAGAACCCTACCTGTAGGTGACCACCACAAAAGGTTGCAATGTGTCCAGTGCTATGGGTTTTACCAAACCCATTTGCCTGCACACATTGGAAAACCAACCATCAAAGACTGGTCTCCTGCAGAGAGGGAGTTTTACTGTAATGCAATGGAAGAAGGAGACAGGCGGCTGGCTCAAGTCTGTCTCCCCGAGCTCAGGTGCAGCACCGAATCTGTGCAGGAGGCCTCTGCATGTTCAGCAGGCAGCCGAGGTAATCACAAGGCTGTGGAGGGACTTCCTTATTCTCCTGCATAACATGTCAACGTGTCACTACGTATACTGTATATTCAAGAAATAGCAGCTAACCCTGCTCTGGGGGGCTTGGTATGGTCATGAAGGCAGGTAACTATGAGGGACTTCCTTCTGCTTAGCCTCAGGTGATAGCCTGTGGACTCAACCAGCTTGGTCAGGTCCGCTGCAGGAGGCACTGGCTCACAGGGTCCTGCAAAATACCTGGCTAAACAACTCGTGACTTCTGTGTCAGAGAGGTTATTCTGCAAAAAAGGAAAAAAACAGCACAGGCTTTTCAATTAAACAGCCACCAGTTTCACCCATTTCAGTCCAAATTAACCCTGCGGTGTACAGCTTCATGGGGAAGACAGAAGAGGGATAAATCAGATACGCCCCCTTCCCTGACAGAGCCGAGGGCTGATGGAGAGACTGAGCCGTGCACAGGACCAAGAGTCTTCACCCGGATCCGTCCAGTGGCAGACAGATGGCCAGCAGCCTGGGGGCCACAGAGAAGTGGCCGGCTTCAAGCAAGAGGAGAAACTTGTAGGATGGCCTCAATTGGTGACACACAGGAAAGGGAGTGGAGTGCTGGCGCGGGGAACACAAGGAGCGGGGGTGCCCACAGGGGGGAGATGCCTACCTGGGCGGGGAGCCTACTCAGAGGAAGCTACCACCGTAACATGCAGCCGGGGGTCAGCATCTGGGGCAGTTGTAGCCCCTCAAAGTGGCCTCCCAAAATGCCCGTGAAGACACCAGAAAAGACAAAAACCTAAAACACTGACAATTGAACTGACAGCAAATCTATTTCCAGGATCTGGGAAGAATTCCCATTAGCTATAGAAGATGAAACTGAAGTGGCAAAGCATGCTGCCTATGCTCTGCTGAAGGTGACAGAGTAATCCTGCGCTCCTGAAGGGGGCCCGGGGTGCTCATCTCCACCCCTTACCTGGCCTCTGGCTGAGGAACACAGGAATGCCTGGTAGCTCTCTGTTCATTGCACCAGCCTTTGGGGACGCATCCATTACCTCTCTTTCTATATCTGATCAAAGACTCTAACATCCAGAAAACATGGCAGTAGGAAGGAGGTCCTTAATGGAGGATCTCCAGGAAGATATGAAGCCTCAAGCAAAGACAGCATGTGCTCTGGGCAGAGGGATAGGAGGAATCCCACATCAGCCTGGGTGAGCAGCGTGGGAGGAAAGCCTGCAAACACCATGAATTTCAGTGCTCAAAGGACAGTTTGGCCAGTATGTATCATGAACAGAAAGTGCAGCCATAAGCAATCCACAAAGCTTATCAGCATAGATTAAGTCTAATTAACGAAATCAAGATAAAGGAAAAATGTCAGCATGAGCACTATGGGGAAAAAGCTGAGAATAAGAAAAATGCAATTAAGAATGAAAAAGACACAGTCCTACAACTAAAAACTATTTGCTATGACAAAGGGATGAAAACCTGTAGAAATGAATTTAGCCTTCACACAGTGGGGAAAGAGCAGGCTGTGGTATGAGAAGAGAGGATTACCTAGTAAGGGCCTCCAGGAAGCAAAAAATGCAGTATCAGAGTTAAAATTCACTTTACAAAGGCCATTAGAAAAGTAACTGATACGGGTATTAGTCAAACAAATTTGAGGAACTTCTCCCAAGTTTAAATAGAGAAGACCAAGAAAAACTGTTTAATGAAATCTAAGATTGAGAATAAAGCTCAAAAAAGAGATCTAGAGCAGAAAGCATATGTGGTTATGACTATGTGGGCCCCCAATTGGTCTGGCACCGTCTGCCTCTCGCCCTCGCCACTTGCTCAGTGGAGAGCCTTCCTCGGTGCCTCCGCTCCTGATACCACCACTGTCCCCGGGTCCCCAGAGCGAGGACAATCCCTCCGTCACAGCCACTGCGATGGGAGCTGCTGTAGCCAGGCCAGACCCCCAGACCCCACAGGCTCTGGGCCCTCCTTCCTGCACTTCTGAACACAACGGAGGCACCTTCCTCAGGACGCAGGATGGCTTCCCCAGCGGCTGCCGGGAGAGGCAAAGTAAGAGAACCTGGAAATGATGGAGCGTGAACACTCCACAGGGGAAGTGTGAGCAGAGAAAGACCAGAAACCATGAGGAGGGACAGACAAAGTCCTTCTCTCTCTGTCCCCCAAGGATGGTTCCAAGGTGCCCTGCTCCCACGTCACCTGTCGTGAGGATGTACTCACGACCGAGGCACCAGCTGTGCTTCTTTACGAAGCTGTGGCCGGCTCAGTGACTCACTAGATTCAGTTGGCTTTCTCTCCCTACTGGCCTCACACTCACCCTTGCCCTCTGGGGATTATATTCGCATGAGGCTTTAGCACAGAAGCTTTGGCTCAGGTTCTGCTTTCTAGAAAACACAGACCAGGACAAAAAACACGCAGATAAAAGGCCCCACAACAAAGATTAGTTTAAAGAGAACTTACACATAGACATTGGCAATTTTCTATGCAAAGATTAAAGGAAAGGTCTTAAAAGCCCTTAATTCAGAGAAAAACAAAGCACAGTTTTTTTTTTTAAGTTACGTAAATTGAACAAGAACCAGTTGCCTTCATGTTTCTCTCCGAAAATAAGCACCTTAAGACAGTGCCGCTGCATTTAGAGGCTTCTGAGGGAGCAGCTCATGACCCAAGAATGTTTGCATAGCCACTGTTTTTGATGTCTGGAAGACCTTTATATATGAGGGAATATATACGTTCTTTTATATGTTTATTGAAAATTAATTTGAAGCTGGGTTCTAGCTTATCAACACATGAATAATAATTGGTGACCAAGAAGTGGAACTTCAGACGTTAAAAGATTGGTGGCCTTTGTGACCATCATAAAGACGAACCAAAATGACAGGAGCAGTGTAATACAAAGGCAGTGTTTCTGACACAGAGATGTAAGGTAAGAGGGAAGGGAGTGTCCTATATGTAGTTTCACTGTGTATATTTGTAAATCTAGGTAATCTTAATAGCACAGCAGGCTCGGCAGAGAAAGTCATCTGTAGTGAACATTAAAGAAGAAAAGGGAATTTTTAAGTTTCTCAGAATAGGAAATGGACCTTTTTCTATGAAGGTAGAGAAACACCACCTTAAAGAAAATATAAAAACCAGGAGTCAGAGGCCCCAAGGCTGCATGTCAGCTCTCCAGGGTGGTGTGCCTTTGGGCAAATCATGGGGCAGTCTGAACATCCATCTCCCCATTCATAAAATCGGGGTCATAATGAAGCCTGCCGAACAGCTTTATTGTAAGGGTAAGTTAGATAACACATGCTAAGGGCTCTCACAGAATGTGACAAAAATGTAAGGAATTCCTCTCAAAAGAGGAATTCATATTGGTGCTCTGGCACGAAATCAAGAGAGAGATACCTGTCCTTTCTAAGTCTCTATCTTGCCTGGTCTCTACCTATGAATAAGGAGATAAAGGTGAGAGAATATATCATAAAGGAAAAAAAATAAACAAAACTAGTGAGATCTAACACATTATCTCCCTGACACACAGAAAGCACAATTCTCTGGCTGGTGGTCAGGTTCTTGGAAGTCACGTCATGTTTTTGCAAACTTTCCCCTCTTTTCCCACATGGACACTAAAGCTAGTCCCCCTTGCCAACCTCCCTGCACAGACACGTCCCGCTGACTGCTGGTGCCCTCACTGGCTCTGCCGTCCCTGTGAGCAGGCGCCGGACAGGGCTCCAGCCCCGAGAGGAAGCTGAAAGCATTTTAGTCAAGTACCAAATGCTCAAGTGTGAAAAATCAACCTGCGACTAACCTCAAAACAGTATCCACATACAATGCACTTCAGAAATACAGAATCAGCCTGGAACAGCCTGATTTGAATTCAAAAGATAAATTATTGTATTCTTAACATGAGGCATTTTAGAAGTCAATCTGAAAAGTTTAATACCGTCATGTAGGAATAATAATAGTCTGCAAAATAGAACTTCACTTTCAATCAAGGTTGATAGAAGCAGCAGCAAGATAGATGTTCAGGGGGATCTCATTTTTATCTCACACTTTCTTTGTTTTCCCTACAGACTTTTTACATTCTTGACTATGTTTGGATCGAAGTTTGGGGGGGGTCATGGTATATGACCTTGGAGTTTTTCTCCTCATGAAGTTTTATATTTATGAAGCTGAAAATCTGCTTTGAATTCTTCTTCACAAAATATGAAAAAAGCCCACAGACAGCACTTTGTCTTAAAAGAATTCATGGCCTTCATGGAATTAAATGACAAAGTCAAACACAGTTTTTCGAGACTTTTTAATGTTTTGAATGTTAGAACACCACTTATATAGAATTGAAATATCATATAATAAATCTCTATCGTTCTATCTTGTATCATTATTAAATGTTAACAAATATTGGCTGTCTCATAAAGTATATTAGCATCCTTCCTGAAGCTATGCTCCTTAGATCCTGTCTCTTAAACTGCTATAAAAGTCAGTGTATTTCCCTGTTTAAGAGTTTGAAAGTACTCAGTAATTAGTATATCAAAGTTACAGCTTTTACAAATATTAATTATTTAGCATTTTACTGATTGGATAGAATTTCAACATATAAAGCTTCTAAGATCTCTCACTCCAAGTTAGATCTAGAATGATTAACTTTATATGAAAGTGACTACCCCCTTACTAATAATAAATTCAAGTCATATGCCATGTGAACATGTGGAGCATTCAATATGCTGTTAGTTGGTGTGGTCACGTGATCGCTGATTTCGCATGTCCGGAGACAGCAGAAATGACTCTGAGGTCAGCAGAAGGCTGTTACATTTCCATAGGCCCCAGTCAACATCAGATAACAGATTTTAGCAGAATAGCAAGGCTGAAGCTAAATTTTGATGTATCTTCAGCTAGGAGTGTATTCTCTTGTTCCCTTTTTTTAATCAGAAAAAAAAATAGCATTTTCGTCTGGACAGAGCAAGAGCAGATTGCCAAAGAAGCCGGGGCAGTTCCTTCCCTAGAGAAAAGCCAGCTTCCCCAGGAAGAACCTGGCGTCATTTCCGGCCCAGCAGGCACCCCTGGCTGCCGTCAGATCTTGGAGGGCTCCTGTGCAGCCCCAGCATCTTCCAGGTCTAATCTTCCAGTGTACTTGCTCAAGGTTCCAAGCCAGGAAAACGTTCTTGGTGGAAGACGACAAAGCAAGTTATAAATAACTCAACGATGTGTCTCTAGGAAACTCCTTGTGAAGTTGCCTCACTGGCTGCAAAGAGTTTCCTCTCCTTCCACCATCCCTTACAAGCCTCTCCATGCAATAAGAGGACATAGTCTGGGGAAAGCACTCCTAGGAGGTATCCCTACAGGAAGGCAAAAGAGGATATTTCAGACCTGCTGGGGAGGCGCAGCCAGAGTTAGGATCTGCCTTATTTGCCCTTGAGGTTTCCCATCCCTCCAGTCTTAGCCTGAGAGGACCGTCCAGCCCCAGCCCTGCTGCTTGGTGGGGTCCTGCCCCACTCTGTCCTTGAGCAAGGGCCTTCCCTGAAGAGGGATGGAGCCCAGGGCAAATCCCTCTCCCCAGCAGGCCTCTCCAGGAGAACATCAAAAGGGCCCTGAATAAGTAAAGGTTGTCACCAGAGGTGTAGGTGGAAGAAAAGAGTTGTGCCAAACTGACTGAGCTGGCAAATTAGTCTATGGGCCACATCCAGTCAGCTGGCCTGTTTTTTATATAGCCCATGACCTAAGAAGGATTTTTGCAGTTTTCATTATTTAAAATGTTTAATGGTTAAAAAGAAAAGAATATTACATAACATGAAAGTTCAATGAAATTCAAATTTGTGTCCATCAGTAAAGGACACCACGTGCCCATCCATTCACAAATTGCCTTTGGCTGCTTTCACTCAATGACGGGGTTGTACAGTCACAAGAAGGAGACTGCGTGACCTGCAAAACAGAAAAGATTTGCCATCTCTCCTGTGGCAAGTTTACTGACCTCTGGTCCCAGTAATGGTGGGGCAGCACTTTGCAGCTGAGAGCTAGTCTTGTGAGCTTCAGGCCACTATTATTAGCTGTCATCCAACCACTCAGTTCTTCAGTGATTGTCACTTCAAGGGACCCCTCTTCTCAAGTCATGGGACTCTGGTTGCCCCAATGTATCCCATGCCAAGGGGCATCCCTGGGTATGGCCAAGTGTCACTCCTGGAGTATGGATGACAATAACGGTGGTAATGACAAAAGAAGGTAGAGAAGAAAGAAATGGAGAAGAAAAATGATAAGACAATGCCGAGGACTTGTAGACACTGTGCTAGGTCTACTCATCAACGCTGTCAACCCCCACACCCCCATGAGATAAACAGCATTACTGTCCTCCTTTAACAAGGAGAGAAACAAAGCTTGGAGAAGTACAGTATGATAAATTGCTCACGGCCACACAGGAATGGTGGCACTCATTAGAGCCCAGTTCTTCACCCCCTGAACCTGTGACTGTACCACTGTCTCAGATTGCCCCCCACGGCACCTGATGAGTCCCAGGAAGACTTAAGACTCTTGGTCATGCAACCATGATTGACTTTGTCCACCCTGAGGGCTTACTCAGCATTGAGGACATGCGGAGGTGGGGCAGAGAGTCATCAAGAGCAGAGAAAGGTGATTCTCAGAAACACTAGGGAAAGTAAGAAAACAGAAATGTAGAAAAAAGTATAATTCACAATAGAGGCATATTCCCAGCACCAAGTAACCCAATTTTCTAACCAAAACATTGCACATAATAATTAATTTCCAACATTCTAGAACTCAGATGGCTGGACAGATCACAGACTTTTTTCAGGAGAGCTAAGGAGCAGAAATTAACTTCAGATGAATGAATAATGTTCTATACTTATAGATGAATTTTTGAGTGCACATAAATGCTGTTGTGTTTAGAAAAAAATCCCTTTAAAGGGATTACTGAATTGATACTATCTTTTTATCATTACACTTCTTTTCAATCAATCATCACTAATTGGAATAAATACCATCTAGGATATGCTCATGCTGAAAAGTGAGTGGAGACTGTGAAGGCAATATTCAGCCTAACAATAGAATACAATGCTTGTAGTTGATGCTATGCAAATAAACACAGGGTATGTGGGCACCGGATTCAGAGGCCCCATTTCTGAGACCTCCAAATGGAATCACCTAGCTCTGCCCATATATATCCACAAGAAACGAATAGGGGGAAAGTTGACGTTGGGTTCCATCCCAAAGCTTATGCTTGAAAGAGATGGTATTTTTAGCCAACTATGAAGTGAGCACTTGCTCACATTGGCTGTTTCTGATAATGAAGGGATGCCTCAATCTCCCTGACCCTAGGAGTGCATTAAAAAAATGATGGAAAGAACCATTTACGAGGGTCACTGAAGAGGGGATCTCTACCCTGCGTGTAAGATTCTGATATCCTCTGAGGCCCATTCTGATTCAAAACCTATTACTCTAAGATAAGGCATAGGAGCATTTTTCTGAGACTGCCCCCAAAGAAAACTTAATAACTCCAGGCACACAACCACTCTTGTTCGTTTACCTGTAGCTGCCTCCCTGGCTTTCCATCAAGTTTACAAAGAGTAGAAGATTTGGCTTCTGGGCTGCAACTTAATATGTCCGTGAAAGTGATGTGAGGATCCTGCCATCGAGAGAGCTGCAGTCCAGGGAACAGGGTGTGCTTTATTAACTCCACATCGGTTAAACCAGAAACCAGTCAGGCTCTGAAATGAACTCTGTCTCAGGGCGACAGAGAGAGATCGTGTTGCCTGAGGGAGCAGAAATCCGCGAGGGACAATGGAGCCTCTGTCCACATGGGGAAAGGGTGGGCTGTCTTATCTGCCTTAAACAGCTATTTTCAGTGAGGGACAAAATTCCCTTGTTGGGATGGGGGCAGGAAAGCTGACAAGCAAGGTGACCCCAGGGGCTTAAACTCCACATCCTCCCCACCACGATTCTGGCACGTCCTCTCTGTAGGAACATGCGATACCTCTTTTCCTAGGAGACTCTTTTTGTGAAAAGCTGCTATGGATACTAGTGCCTTCTTTATGTTGACATGTTGGTGCAGAAAGGGTTGAGAACTAAAAGCTGTGGCAGCTGTGTGCACACGGGAGGGGAGGGAATAAAGGGTGCTCAGTGGTACCGCGGTGTGGAGTTAAATGAGGCTGGAGGCTGGTGGAGGCGGGTCTTGCATGCCAGTTTCTTGCAGAGCCAATTAAGAGAAGGGGCATGACGCAGACGTGGGTCCGTCAGTTACCTCCTGGGGAAGGTACGTGGATGCCCTGCAGGCCTCGGGGGCCAAGGGAAGAGGCTTTACTGAAGAGAGTAATTTGGGTATCAAGGTGTAATGTTTGATGAGGACGTGGGAGGTAAGAAACCACCCAACGGAAGAGAATATATGAGGGGTGTGAAGAATATCAGGAACCTTTCAGTGAGATCAGAAAGCAGCGATCAAACAAGTACAAGAGCATCCAGTGAAGTCGGGAGGCGGGAGACCCAGGACTAGTAGGGCGCCGTCAAAGCCCCACGGAGCGCCGCCCTCCTCCCAGCCACGCCCACATCCTCCCTGGGGAGCAGGGGTGGGAGCCGGTTAGGGTCCCGGCAAACCTGAATCAAGAGAGACCACTCCTTGGGTATCGATTTCATTCTTGGAGACATGGGAGGCTCAAGGGGACAAGGCGCTGGACACGGCCCAGGACTTCCGGAAGGCAGAGTCTCACCTCTGACCCTTGGGAGGGTCACTTCACTCCTCTCAGGCATCACTGTCTCAGCTGGACATTCAGGGTGTCACTGGCCTGCTCTCTGCTCTCAACTCAAACAAGCGTCGTTTCTATAAGCACATGACATTATGAGTTGTTTCCCCAGCCCGGCTGAACCAGTAATCACCATCTTCCCCCGCTGCCAAAAATGCAGACATGTAACGAAGGTGCGAGGGTCTGTCAAGAAGCAGAACATTTCCTTCCCGACCTTCAATCCAGCAAAATGTGCATCACCGGTAAATTTCATGTTAAGTGTTCTTGCCACAAAAAAAAAAAGAAAAAGGAAATTTTTAGTAATATGCATATTACCTTGCTGGTGGTGATGGTTTCGTGGGTATAGGCATATATCCAAACTCATCAAGGTGTAGACATTAAATATGTGCAGTTTATTGCATATCATTTATACCTCAAAAAGCTGTTTAAATAAATTCTTAATACAAATTTTAAATGACTGGAGTTCACAAGATATAAATGATATAAATAAATACACTGATACAATTGAAAAGTAATACCCTTAGGTATTTAGAAACGTATTTTCTAAAGCCTCATCTAGGCTTCTTATAATAACTGCTAGAGTCATTTTGAAGTAAATTTGGACTTTTCTTTATCACATTGGAGGTTTCGGGGTGGACACGGATCCTGTGGTGGTCTCATGCTGGACAGCGGAGGCCAGCCAACACTGTGTGCACATCACACGTTCATCACCAACTTTCTTAAGCAACAGAAATTTAGTATTTCATTTTATCTTAAATATGCACTTAATTTTTCAGCTCTTTTGTGTACATGGGTTTAGTGCAAAATAAAAATCATTCAAAAAATATATATATATATTAGTTACATTGCTCCATAAGATGAATGACACAATTATTGTAGCTGAAGTGTTTAAGCTACTCACTACTCATGCTGCCTGTTATACACATTCAGCCTCTATTTCCCAGCACCCACTTCACACACACCTAACCCATAATTTCTCATGTTTTCCAACAAGCCAACTAGCGGCCAGAGGCTTCCTTTATCCAGGCCACAGCACAGGTCTCAGAAAGTGGGCCGATGCCCTGAGTGGTCGCATGGGTACAGGAGTAAAGACTTCGTACCACCACTCGCGACCTGAGGACCTCGCTGTGCTTAGCAGCTCCTGCCCCCAGCGAGCTCCTTTTTCTCAGACCTTGATGGACAGACATTCTAGTCTGTCTTTCCACTGGAAGGGTTGGGAAAAGAGATGCATGTCACTGTTGGTCATCTTCCAGATAAGACCACCACACATGCATGTCACATGCTACTCAATAAGGCCACGGCAAAAGTTGAAACAGCCAAGAGAAGAGGAAGGCCACCAAAATCATCAGGCTTATTTAATGTAACTATTACTGATAACCTTTCATTTAAAAAGGAAGAATCGAACCAATGCTGAACCAAACTGGATGCTGGTCCAAGAGGCACAAACTAACTCTGCCCCAAACTAAGATGTTTCAGCCTCTTTATTCTTCTCTGGCACCAGACTTGCATCCATTCTCTATTATTGCACATGGGTCAAAAGGGATGAGAAAAATCTGCTAGTGCCCTGCAACAGCCAAGATTTGTTCTCCATCAACAACTCGACTGTTTTCCACTTCAGAGAGCTGATTTTATTGTAAGAGAAGGAGATGGTGAGGGAGGGCCAGGAAATAGAGAAGACATCACCATTCAAACCATGAGAAACCATTTTAGAGCTTCTCATTATTCTGTGGGCAGTTAGAGCCAAACCAAAAGTGAGAAATCAGCTGATTTCCCAGGCACTGCTCAACATTTTCTTTTCAGGAGCCTGTCTGCTCCATCTGACTGGGGGGTTTTGGTGAGACCAGAAGCAAGAGAATGCCTGAGGGCAGCGTGGAGGAGGGGGTGCGTTTTGGGGTAGAAGTGGTAGTGTTAAGGCAGGATAGTTGCTATCCCCTAAATATTATTCTCCCAAAGCCATGAGTTTTCTTCAAAAAAGTTGATGTCTTCCAGTCTTGCCATAAAGACATTTAAAAAAAAGAAGAAGAAAACAAAAACCTTCCTTCCAAAAAAGTTAAAATTTCCAGTAAATTGATGCTTGGAGCTTGGCAAGCTGCAGAATAGAGCCAAGGTTCCCAGAAGGCCTTGCTCCAGTTACCAAGCTCCCAACAGAGAAGGCGCAGGATCAGAACTGGACATGACAGGATGATGGGAGGGAGAGGACTAATACTGGCCTTGGGTGTAATCCAAAGTGATTCTCGGAGGATGAAATTTTAGAAAAACATCATTGTACCCAAATCTGCATGAACATCTTCCTCCCCCTGGCATTTCCCCTGAAACAATGCTGGAGTAGACTCTTACTGGCAGAAATACCATGTGTCTAGTGAGCCCTTCCCAACCCTAAGGCACCCCCAAGGTCAGTTGTCTTGTCTCCATGGAAGGTGCCAACTCCCTTTTTCTCCTTGAAGGGAGATACATCCATTCAAGTGAAGAACTTCAGATGTTGTCATTAGCACAATGAACCCAGGTGTCAGTCTACTGAGAGTCAGAACTCATCGGCACAAACTTGGTTGATAACTCACAGTAGTTTCTTTATCCTGGATGACAGGAACTTTGGCTATTTTTACTAAACAGGGAACACGGGAATGGAGTGCTGAGCAGCTGACCAGGTGTGAATTCTCTCTGGTCCTTGAAGCATTTTGTAATGTTCTCCAAGGCAGGGCGGTCTCATCATTTTCCCCTCTCTCCTCTGACAACTGTGTTTAACACATAGGTAACTGAAAATGAAAGTAAAGAATTTGGCTTTATAAGTTTTCTATTATGGATGTTTGATCAAGACAAACCAATCCAGCCCCCTAGCCCTCAAGTGTGGATGGCTTGAACAGTGTGTAGACTTTCTCAACTGTTATTTTCTTACCCAAGAAGAACAATACTGACAGAGCGCTGGCATCTACTATCAGAAGGACCACTGATGTGCTGAGTGACCAGGGACAACAGCAGCTGCCTCTCTGTGCTTCTGGGTCCCCAAGCATGCAGTGAGGTTTCCAGACGCAAAACGGCTGTGATTACATGCAGTAGGGGTGGGGGTGCCAAGGGAGTCAACCTTAGGGTTATTCACAGCTGGAGACCTCTGCGAGGCCATCAGTTCCTGGAGGGCAGACACCTAATGACCTCCTTCCCATCTCCACCACCTTATCAAGCCCAGCGGACCCTGGCACCTGCAGGAGCTGCAGCAAGCATTTCTGCCCCGAAGTCCTGGTGGCCTCCTGAGGGGCAGGGCCACATCAATTTGACTAGATTTGCATGTTCGTTTGCCACCCCCCAAGTTTCGTAACCCCTCACTCCCAAGAACAGCAAATTAGATTAAACAGCACAGGCATTTTTAAACACAATAGTTTGGACAGGATACACATAAAATGCAGAACAGATTTCCAACCCAATTCCTCTCATCACATCCTAGACAGGGAGCAGCAGGCTGATAAGGAAGCACTTGTACAATCACAGGAAGAAAAAGACAGGAGGGGCAGGGTATCAGGTAGACTCGGGAAGGCACAAACAACAGACATCTTTTTCTTAATTGTTGAAATATTGCTTTGGAATGAGCCTAATTAGTTCCTTGGCTTTCCCAGACGTTAACTCAGTCAGGTTCTGTGCTGACTTTATACATGAGAATTGCTGAAAGGGGGTTGGGGGCTGGTAGTGGTGGAGTTTATCTCTCATCTTTGTACCCTTACAGCCTGGCTCTGAAGTTTAAGGTTTTTTAAATTAAAAAGCACAATTTTTAGCTTTTCCATATATTATCTGAAATTATAATAAATTCAAGTGTTGCCCATACTGGCCTTGAATTCTTGCAGAATTTAATGGTGCCACCCAAAAAGTGCTGTGAGGCTGCCAGCTTAACCTCCATAAGAAAGCACAGGTCCAAGACAAGCTGGCCAGCAGTGGTGAGAATTCAAATCCAAGGCTGCCTGGATAATGCCTTCAACACCCCTGCCGTGCTGTTCCCATTGCCAGCACGTCAAGAGCGCAGATCCCAGCCACTTGCGCGTGAGAAGGGCTGACATTAACCATATACTCGACAAGTTCTCAAGAGCTGAACCATGAGCAATCGCAGCCAGGCTGACGCAGAATTCGCTGTAATGAATACAGCTGGCTACAAGGAAATGGATTTGTCTTGCTTTTGCAACTATTCTGGAAAACCCGAATTAAATCAGGAAGGGGGTGCTGGTTGGGATCCCCTGGGAAATGGGTTTGCAGACTACTGGAATCCAGGCGCAAGCTGACTCTCAGAGACCCCTGGGCACTGACCCTGCTTTACCTGCCCACACCACAAGA